TCCTATCGCTAAATTAACGTGACTACGCTCTACTAGGTTCAGCAGATTGGATAGCTTTTTTTACTTTGAGCCTTCTGAATTATTATGAGTTTTATTCAGCTAGATTTACGTGATTGAATAAAATTTTTAGTTTTGAGCTTTAATAAATATTATAAGTTTTATTCAGCTAGGGTTAGGAGATTGGATAAATTCTTTTTAAGCCTTATTAAATATTATAAGCTTATTCTCATAAAGTCCGCTATAATATCGCCACTTCGCCAGACTAATTTGTAAGCAAGCATAAATTAAGCTTCGTTATGTAAATAGATCGTGGCAGAAAATAATCGTGATATATTGATATGGTCTGGTGTACACAATAGCAGACCGAGAATGGGGTCAGAAGTATGTCCCTATGTGAAAACCGATGAGTAAAACATTGTCATCCGATCATGACCATATTATGTTTGTAATACTTCAAAATGATAGACATGCAAAATTCACTTATATTAACAAATACATGGGAAGTATAAATTTTAAATAATTACCCAGTACCTAGCCTGCAGTTATAAATTGCCACAACGAATAGAATCATACACGAGGTGAAAAGCTTGTAAGGGGTCAGAAATGTTTCAGTCTATCAATGGTGGTCATTATTAGCCTATGCTAATGGAAAACAAAGCGTAAGAAAAATCAATACTAAACAGACCTAACAATTTGTAATAACATTGTGGTAAAAGAATTAACCTCACTAGATAAGTAACAGATTCAATGTATAGGAAAACAATATCCGCCGCGATGCTTATACAAAAGAGAGCAGGCAGCCGCTAGCTATTATGTTGTATAAACGATAATATAATAATATGGATAATAAAGAGAAAGTACAATCTACTCAATGTAAAAAAAGCCCGTCTAAAATCGTAACCGATATTCTCAACGCATGAAATTTATCCTAAAAGGCCGTATAAAATTATGATTATCTTGGAATAGAAAGGAGATATGTCGAAAAACAGTACACTAAGTATACTTATTCCTATAGTATAATCGTATGCAACTGAGTACATAGAACTAATAAGATTCGATAATTGCACCAAATTTTATAATTGCTGTAGACTGCCATGATGTTTCACGGTATTTGTATATTAGCTGAAAGCACTCGTAACTGAGTCCCTTTATAATTATACTGTTTTATTTGTATGAGACAAAGAAATACGGGCGTCTATAGCTATCACTACTGAAGAGCTTAATAACTAGAGTATACCGATAATTACTATTAGTGTACAGTTTGAGGTGCCTGAATTCCAATAGAAACTCACAACCACACTAAAGAATTCTTAATGTTAGTTCAAAAAATTTCTTACTTTGATAAAATCTCATATTGGAAACATCAGTCATTTATCTAAAACTGATCGGCCATAAGCAATTGTAGCCTACCTATTAACTTCTAATACCGCCAATAATTATATTATTCAGAACAGGAAGTATAACAGACAAAAGTGCCTACCACACGCTGTTTATAGAATAATGTATAACTACTACATTCGCTTCTCAGTTATTTAAACTAAATTATTAACATATGCGCCTCATTTCTGTATATCACTGCAATCATTAAGAAGAGAGGGAGCTTAAAACTATCGAACGTTGGGCGATGTCTAATAGATTTTATCCACCATCGTCTTCAAACTAAAATAATCCTAAACGTAAAGTAATTAAAATATTACAGTTTTATTCGTATAACTACTTTAGAAGAATTCAAATCAAATGATACACGTATTAATTGACTGCAATTTTTCTTTTTCTAGATGAAAATTACTACTTTAGAACAAGTGCTCTAAGAAATTGTAGCAAAGAATTATTTAAAGAGCAGGTTAGATCAATTTCTTAGTTTAATAAAATTCTCTAAATAGATTTATTTCAAGTCAGCAAACGTATAAGCATGAATGTTCAACTAAACGCGTCGCTGTAATATTTGAGCTGCGCAATAATTTAAATCAAAAGTACATATCCAAATATTTCATTATGACACTATAACCCTTTAGATTCGTTAGGCATAACAATTCACAAACGAAATTTAACTATTCTTTGGCCGATACAAAGCTATAAAACACGAATTTACATAGCCCTAACATATCTAATAAGATAGATTATCCGGGAGTTAATACTGAGATTCAGTACAAAATTTGAAACCTTCTAAATTAGTTTAAACTTTTGCGAGTCAAAGTTAAACATTACCATATCCCATCCGTTGCAGTTTCACTTAATAATTAATATGTAAACCTATGAAGAGAATCCTACCTATCTCACTTAATAGATACAAGTATATATATTCGTATATCATATCATCAAACTTAAATGAACGAAAGCACAACATACACCTACTAAATTAAGGCGTTGAAAACTCAAGTCTTTTCGGCACTGCTAAGACCAAGATTTTACTTTCTCGAGTATTACTACGTTGGTGATTTAAAAGACACAACATTAAAGTTGTTCTAAGTTCTTAGTTTAACCCATTAACGATACTTATTGATATCACTATATTTTTTTACACAAAAATAGAGGGGCAAAAGATCATCAGGACTTAATATTCTTTAGATTCCACTTAACAATAATGATGTTTAGTATTTGCTGTTAAAATGTCCTTCAAATATGAACACAATATGTGGAATTATCATGAATATGTAGAATTGAGTAGAATTATCATGATTATGTAGAATTGAGTAGCTATAATACCGTACATCTTTTTTTGGTTTCAAGTTAGATCCAGAGATTAGCATGATTTTTTGATAGGCTAAGATTACTAGAAGTCCAATATAACGCGTACGACAAAGATATCCTTAAATTGAATAATATTCTGAACAGGTAGTCAAGAATAAAATACCGTACCGACTTTGCGGAAATATAAACTTGAAAGTTAGGGAAACATCCTATTTTCTCGATTTAAATTATTAGTCACATTTTATCTGAACAATATTCTGAATAGGTAGTCTAGAATAATACTTTCTTTGCGGAAATATAGACTTGAAAGTTAATAAATATCCTCTCTTCCATATTTTAAACTATTAGTTATTTTGTCAGTCCTCCTTGATGTGTTAATGATAAAAGTAAAGTATTACAGATTTCTTTTCCAGCCTAAAAACTAAAAATTTTATTGAGAACGATGGTTTTGGCGCAATCAACGAAGCTGCCAGCTCTAAAATAAGTAATAAATGAGTATTAAGTAATAGTTCAAGGTGATGAGTACATTTCAGGCCTATTTGTCAATTGAATAAGCTCAAGTGAGATTCAATTTTTTGCAGCCTGATGTACCTTTCAAATTACTGCACTGACATAGACCGACTTTATAGTAGTATAAAGTGCCCAGAATACGACCAAGTAATTTAGTTATAATTTATCGAACCACTTAGATGACTAGCGTGTATAAAAAACTCCAGTCTCATAGCAACAGTAAATCAAATCAGGGAGCAAACTTGTTAATTATATCGCTTATGTAATCTAGCGTTTTACGCATAGTTAATAATTGCTACAAAGTAATTCAATAGGCTGATCATTCTCAACATCTCTGAATACTTACAAATTACAAAGAAATTATTCAAGCTGTGCAGCCATGCCTTTATACATTCATTGTATCTGCAACATCAAAGTAAACAATAACAATCGTCACCTGGATCCATTTTAGCAGAGTTTTTGATTGATTCATCATCCATCTCGAAAGTTTACCGAAAAAGTTGTATCAGCAGGGGGATATCTTATTATTGAAATTAGTTTGTCTCATACTGAGGAAGGCTGTTTGAAAGATAATAAACTTACGTCAAGGATGGTTTAGTAAACAAATTGTTTTGGTACCGAATAAGTTGCAAACTGGGTAATCACTTTTTAACACATAATTATTCGAAAATGGCGATATTCCATCAAATAAATAGTAAAAAGGTTCATATCCAAAGTTTATGTAGGACGTATCTGTAGCGGGATCTACATACTAAAAATTGAATAGCTATCTTCTTGGCATCTTTACGTTATATACAATAAAAAGAGTTAACATCATTTGGGATATTAATAAAAATACTAACCCCATTCCTAAAATTCTCTCTAACTCAAGTTGAAATCAGAATATTGAATCATGCAAATCTAGATATACAATATAAAATCTATTGACATTGAATGTACTGGCTCCATGATATTTCTCTATCATCCATGACGCCTAGAAATAGTTTTTCAGGATGTTATTTGCGAATCTAGAGTATAACGATGTGCCGGTATCGATGATAGCTTTGCAATTCAAAACTATGACATGTTTTGTGACTCCTCCCAATAAGTAATAGAAAAAATAACATTAGGATAAATATAGACATCCACAAATACATCATTTATCGTGACAAAAACACCGTATTAATTGTAGCTCCAGAGTAATAATGATTGCAATCACCATATGATAGTTAGCTACAGTAGTTAAAATAGTACTACACAATGAGTAAATGTAGTTTCCTGCTTACTGTATTAATGAAAACGTTAATTGCCGGTAGTAAGGTAGCTTGCTCCGACCACAAGTGATCTATTTCACTACTGTAAGTTGTAAATTTGTAAATTATAACAATCATAACTAGTAAATGTTACCTTTCACTAGAGTTAATGAGTATAGATAGGATATTTGGCTCTAGCATTAGATCAATAGAGATCTTCCCAAAACATGGTCTATAACGTAATTAAAGTAACCAAAACAGCGAAATCTATCAACATTTTTCAATAACGATCCATTTTCCTCTGTTACCTGGGCAACTTGAATAAGTTTTTAATTTGTGTGCATAAAATATCCGGTAATTGAAATTTAAAGATTTTATATAGGTGCGGTAACTTATACGAAAATGGATCCTCCTTAATTATTTATTATTTTCTATAATTTGCTAATTGATTCAATTACAAACAGGATACAATTGACCAAAAAATTTATCTCTGCGTAGGTTATTTCGTTGGTCGTCTTTGACTGATTAAAGATTATTATACGCGTAATTATTATAATTACGTAAAATATGGCCGATTTAACAGCAGCAGTATCTAGCTTGCCAGTGATCCATCATAAGCAACCTATGAAGGCTTCATCACCAACGCGATATGCAGCAAGTGGCAGAGAGCCAATCACTCTACGCAATTTAAGAAATAAACATTTACGCTACATGAACAGTGTCAAGAAGGAACAAAATCAGTTAGAGAAGGAAATCAGTAGAATTAAAACGGTGTTAGATCCTCGAGATTATCGCCGAGCTTCTAAAGCAAGGCGAAGGCGTAACAACAGGAATCATTCCATTGCAAAAGCAAAATTAGGCCTTGATATGCTAAACGACAGCCGTTCAACTTCTGAATCTTCAAATTCATTACGCAAAAAGAGCTTACCTGTCATCAATGAATATCAAAGAAATGGACATTTGGCAAAGCAAACATCGGAAGAGCCCTGCCAACGTGTTAAGTATAACGAAATGGACAGAAATGATGAAGGTGAATGGTTTAATGCTACTCCCAAAAATACGTTTGATATGATGTTACTGCAAAAGAAAAGAGATCAACGGCGTACAATTTATAAAATTTTATTAGAAGAATGCGACCTGCAAGAACAGGTGGATGATGTTCCGCGTCACTTGCAACAGCAGGATCATGATCAAAATAAGAAATATAATACTAAAGGGCGTCGCAAAAAGGACAACTTAAAAGTTGAAATTGGTGAAGTCAGAGAATTAATTGAGAAAAGACTAGCTATCCATGATCATTACCAAGAGAATCCCCTTGATGATTTAGCACTATTTTCAAAACCACACAACAAAGGCACTGTCAATAGTCCAATTGCAACGGATAGGAAAAACTTATCAAATCAATTTAATGATAAAGACCTTCAAAAATCTTTACTAGATCAACTTAAAACTGAGAAATTAATTTCTTCGCAATTAAGTTCATGGCTTAGAGTTGTCAAAGGACCGAGAGCATCGAAAAAGATTTTTTAATCAAAAAACAAATACCGGTATTGAAAATGGTCCTGACCCATGAACAATATAAAACGAGTGGGCTTCTGCAAGCAAGAATAATCATAAGATCATATGGCAGCTATGGCAGAAGTTTATTCACTTTCACTATAACTTATGACTGCACCATTTTTTTGCAGGACTATCGTGAACCAATTTTGGGAATAGAACATATAATCTACTCAGTATTGTACATTAGAAGAACGTATTTAATGTATAGTAAATAACTAGCTATTTTTACGTCTATTTCGCAATTTAATTTTCATTCTATCATTCATCGTCAAAATTTGCAAACCTATCTGAAATATTTAATGTATATCCATTATTAATTTAATTTATCCTGCTTTTATTTTATGCTAATTTACATGCTATCATATATATTGGTCTTATAAGTCTCTGATTAGATTGGAGATTGGTGAATACGGATGTATTATTTTGGGATCTTTAAGATCCTTCATGCTACCGTACAATCCAGGCTAGAAAAAAATCTAAGGTCGAGTTCAAACTCTAATGAGTCTATTTTAAATATTTGAAATAAGTGATTTGTAGCTGATAATGTATTTAATGCTAGCTTGAAAGATACACACAAATTATTGTAGCTCCGATTTAATTTTTATCTCCATCTTGAAGTAATAAAGAATAATCCCATTTAAATTATCTCGCCTGAAAAGAGCGATCGAGATGGACTTGCATTATATTGTGAATATTAAACTTTAGTATAGATTAGAAATACTCCGAAGTAATAATTTAGAGATTAAAGAAAGAAAATGTGCCTGTGCGGACAATGTCGAAGGTGCGTTATAAATCTGCGACTTACTTACGTAGTAATCAGTTCACTTACGTTAGAATTGGCATAGAGAATAGAGTTTGCTATGTATAAATTACTCATAGTAGTCAAAAGTTAGTGCATGGCGTGCAGCAACATTGGGAATACACTTTCTAAGACTATTAAGCATCGCATCTATACGTTACTGATTCTAATTACTTTTATGGCCGTTCGTGTAGAGTTGTTTGTATAAAAAGGGGTGCAGATAATCGCCAGTCTTAAACTATAGCTAACAGTTGTACTATCTCATAAAATAAACTTGATAATATAAATAAAACTAGAAGACTAACATTCTATGCATCAAAATATGTTTGGAGATGACAAGGAGACAGAGAATAACAGTTATTGTCCGTAAAATAGGCTAATAAAATAAACTTGATAATATGAATAAAACTAGAAGACTAACATTCTATGCAACAAAATATGTTTGGAGACGACAAGGAGACAGAGAAAACAGTTCTTGTCCGTAAAATAGGCTAATTTAATCTATTTCTGTAATCCATACACTCTCTTATGATGTATACCCAAACTTAGGATAAGATTCGTTAAGGAAGTTTGCAACCAATTTTTTTCTATATTGTCGTTTATCGCCCCTAACATGGACTTTTAGAATTTGAAGATTCTAGAAGTCCGTGGCGCTGGTTATCATGCGTTTTGTTTGATATTGACAGTACAAAAAAATAAAGTGCTTTTGGCGAGAATCGCAAACGTATCTCGTCAAGCTGTCACTTACTGTTAATCAATTTATGTACATTGCACAAGAAAAACAAGAAGAAATACTATATCACTATTTGTTAGAATATTATCCTGATGTATAATAACTACTGTAGTTTGTCATCAGAAAAGAGAATTATTGTACAAACAAACTCAATTATAATATAAAATAAAATAATTGACTACTGTAAGTAATGCAGGTCTAAGAATTTAATAAACTTCAATTTTATTTTCAGCTAGTCGTAATTCCATAAACTATGAATATGGTTGTAGGTAACAACGAAAATTTATTCGCTTTCTTTATTCCCTTCATCGGTGGTCCAAGATTGCATTGCTCATTTGTTTTCAGCATGATACATTGCAAAATAGCATAGTTTTTGTAGGAAGAGCTTGATATACAGTCTAATTAATTATTATCACTCAATCAAAAAATTTGTAGAATATCGAAATAATACATTTTACAACAAGAAAATAAAACTAGAACCAATGCAGGGCTATAAATAATCATATCCAAGTTAAGAATGTCTAAAAAAAGACGGTACACTAGTACACATACACTGTTAGTGATCTGCATTTCAGAAAGGGAACATTCTATCCAATAAAACTGTGACGATAATTTACATTACGGTAAAGTACTATAATTTATTATTCAATTTTATTTTAGATTTCTAACATTTATATGCTTGATAGCAATAACGTTCTACTAACATTACAAAAGCGTTACAAGATATCAATAACTTTGTAACGTGAAACATTTTAAAAATATGACTATGCTGCATGAGATAAATCATGAGCGATGTGCCTTATATTTTAGTGTCAAGCGATCATTAGTAGATCAACTTTAAAAGAAATACTATATTACAGAATTGAAGATACCAAGGATTCAACCTTGGATCCTACGCGATCAATTTAAAATGTCGTTTCGACCTCTTATGCGCCTAGCTAATTGGACATCTCTGGGCATAATGGTTACTCTTTTGGCATGGATAGCGCATAGATTTCTAGATCAAGAAAATAGGAATAAAAAATAAATACGTACGTACATCATGTTATTAAAATAACGTTTACATAATGAAGTAGAAGTAAAGAGCGAATAGCTACGCTATAAGAATTGAATACTACGCAGTATCAATTTGGTAACATTAAGCGACACTTACGTATCTTCGAAAAGACTAACAAGAAAGGCTTCTGCAGCTTCTTGTATTGCCAGTAATGCTTCAACTTGCCAATAAAAGTGTTGACTAGTAATATCATACGCAACTTCTCTTACCTGTTTTAAAAGTAGAACACATAGGTGAAAATTACTTTGCGCTGCATATGCTCAACCTTAATGAAGCTGTTTTAAAATTCTTTCAGCTATTTAAGAGCAGACCCATCATATACAGATTATTTAATAAGAGTTGTAGTATAAAAACAGCCAAAGATGTAGCCATGACTATTTATATGATACTTCTGCACGATACATGGTCAATCAGATAACGTGCTAAATCTTATCAATTCATTTGTAAAATGGATTCAATCCCATTCGAAATGAAAGGTGGTGATAGTGTTTGGAAATTCAAGCTACTTTAACTCTATATTCTATAAATCACTGAGCTTATGCATGACTTTCTTGGCGTATTTACAGCACCTTCATGCATGCCATTTGTAATCGCTTACCGTTAATAGGTGAAAACAGTTCAAAATAGTTGAGACATAATGTAACATGGTGTTATCAAGTTGGATACGTTTAAAAGCAATGTGATTATTTTAAGTCATTGGCATCCATGTATCGTTACTAACTTACTGGACCTGATTGATGTTAAAGCATATATAATTTTCCAAGTAGCATACAAAGAGTTGTCAATGCTCATCATCATGATTACTCAGTGTTGTCTTTTAACCTACTATCATCGGTGCTGTATGCACCACCGTATCGCTACAACTTACCACTCGTGAAAAAGGCAGTTTACGAATTAATAAGTTAGTATTTTTTTGATATTGACGAATTTCCATTAAGGCACGAGTGCCAGGTTTAAATCTTTTTTGGCGTCTAGTTTGACTTTCATTGGCTTTTGCTATAAATAGATAAAACAACAAGCCATTAGTATGCCATTGCAAGTCTGACAATGATGGCGAAATTGCGATTCATTCTATCTAGCATCTGGGACTTTAGAGAAAAATAACTAACAAATAGTTAAGGTGTTGACTGGAGACGATGGTATCGCTTTACTATCGGATATCAATGAAGAGAAAACTATCATCCTTTTGGAATGGCTATTCTATCATTCTATTGAAGCTTGAAAGTGTTTGATGGTGATGACTACTGTTATCGTAAAGTCGATGTTAACTGATTCGTTATTTTTTGTTTGTGATCGTTGAGCTTACATGAAGTAGCTGAAGCAGGTACACGCTTGACAGGCGTTGATTTTCGACGTGATGTTGCCGGTAGGCCACCACTTTGGGTAGTCCGACCCATTGAGTACTATTGCAAGTACAGCAGTAGCAGCTCGTGTTGAAATGGTCGCTACCAATAGATGAGTTTGCTGCAAGAGTAGTGACTTTGTCAAGTGGCCACTGACAGGGACTGATCGAGGAGGAAGAGGGGGCCAACTTGCAGTCCACCTACAGTCAAGTTGGAAAATCACCTTGACAAGTACAGTAAAGAATGAAACGACTATCGGATCGTCCAATGGAGCCAATGGCGTTGTTCTACGAATTGGCTATGGATGATCGATCCCCTTGTCAATGTTTTCACTTTCTTCCACTCAATGATTGAGTGGAAACCCAATGAATAGGCAAGCTTTTGCAGGCAATTTTCCTTCTCCTTTCAGCATCCCGCGCGTCTTCTCTGCAGCACAATCATTGGTAATCGAGAGGTAAAACCAGTCCAATTCTTGGGCAGCGTCCTTCTGGCTTCTGTACCGTAGCATGGCGACTGGCTACAGTACTTACGGAGCTGTACAGTGTACAGTACAGTACTGTACTTTCTTGCGGGCGGCACTTGTACTGTACAGTACACTGTACAGTACAGTACAGTGTACTGTACGTTGTTAACCATTACTTGCGCCTCAATCATTGGCAATCGATAGGTAAAACCAATCCAAAGAACCATTCTTGGGCAGCGTCCTTCTGGCTTCTGTACCGTAGCATGGCGACTGGCTACAGTACTGTACTTAAGGAACTGTACAGTACAGTACTTTCTTGGGGGGGCGGTACTATAGTACTTTACAGTACAATGTACTGTAGTGGAGACTGTACTCATCTGTACTGTACAGTACAGCATACTAGAGGCTCTCATACAGTACAGTACTGTAGAGGGTCTCTAGTGAGCACTACTGTACTGTACTGTACAGTACTTTCTTCTGATCGGTACTACAGTATAATGTACTGTACTGTAGCGTAAACTGTACAGTACAGTACTCATCTACAGTATAGTACAGTACACTAGAGACTCTCATACTGTACTGTAGAGGGTCTCTACTGAACACGATAGCTACAGTACATACAGTACTGTACAGTATGTTGTTAACCGTTACTTGCACCAAAAGCCGATTCAAATGATGCTGATATCCAACTATCCAAATGATCAAAAGTGATTCATTTTCTCATCAGTCTACAGTAGTGTACGATGTATCGTGTATTACTATCTAGAGTCAATACTAACTACTGTATTGAAAGTTCGTACTACTCTCAATTAGCATCAATATAGCGTAGCGTACTATAGAATACTATGGACTACTGTAGGGGATTCTACCGTATGCTAGGTACTGCACTAGAGACGCTATGATCATTTGGTAATGACAGATGAGGGGAAAATTCCATCGTTTGGGAGGGACTTCAACCTTATACTGTACTGTACTGTACTGTATATTGATTTCTTGATAGAACCGAAAATGAACCGAATCGTTGGCAGGTCTAGACAGTAGCAAAGTACAGTGTACAGTACCTTAAATACTGTACCGTACAGTACACAGACACTTGATGCCTACCGGAAGTACTGTACTGTACAGTACATACTGTACTCTTTCTTATGACTGAACAGCGAACACGTCTACAGTACGTACTGTACTGTACTGTACACTGTACATGAGTCGTTATTGCTGTTCGACTGTTATTGACTAGATACGATTTGATGCTACACAACGTTACTGCTAATCCTCCTTAGTCTCCGATGCTGGACTAAATCGTTTCTCTTCAACGATTCCAACATTCAATCGATGGTCATCATCTTTTGCCATTGATAGCCCTTACTGTAATTTATCCATTAAGGATGTCCAGTAACGATTATTATACTGCCATTTCTGATATTGGAATTACTTCAAGACCGGATGAAGTTCCCCAAGGATATATTTTAGTAAGTAAATAACTTGTATTCCAATACTAACAAACTATCCAGTCTCGCGATACTCTTACCATCAACATAAAATAGACAGTAATCCATAGCTTGTCCAGTCATTCATTCATTATGCTATAACTGTATATAATCATATGGATTTGAAGGACTAAAAGAATCGTCACCATAATGATCGAGACATGGTATGATTGAATCCATTTTACCAATCAATACACACCATACGCAATACATGACTGCCTGCCAAAGTGGCGCACCAGAACGACTACCGCACATAGAGAATAATCACTTTCAATAGCCTATGAGTGTATTGATCGTCTTCAATCATTGATATCTCAATAGATAGATTGGCCTTAATCTTTCTCGTTGATATGTTTCTCTTTCATTTTGTCATCCACATTATCTATTTTGATTTTAATCAGTGGTAGTATAACGCTGATCATTCCATATGGGTCTGTCATTTCGGCCAACGTTATGTGACTCTTACCATGCCACCGATTACGTCATAGCTTCGACGAAGATCATAACGCTCAATGGACTATCAAGGACTGCTCTTCTATTTTGCAGTAGTTCTTGTAATTATCCTACGACTAAGTAGGAATGAACTACAGCCAATGAGCACGGAATGTGTGAGCTTCTCTCCATTTGCGCCCATTTTGTGATATTCATACTGAATTGCTCATAGTAACGATGAGAAGATGGCATACTCATTGCCCATTTCTTTGCTTGCATACTTTTACTACAGTGTACTGTACGTACGCTCCGACTTCACGTCGGACTGTATGTCCAAAGACCAGATGAATTTCGCCTCGATCGTTTAAAATATCAATTCTACTATCTCTATTTTAGGTTTCTCGCTCTGTGTCTGGCATCGATGCTCAGCTATGGCCTGGAAAGCGATCTGATAAAGCGAAACGATATCTCTGCGTCAAGCCGCTACAGGTAATAACTTATCGTCTACTCATGTTTATCACCAGTAGAACGGATCGTCATCACATTGACACCACAATATTTACTAAAATGAATAATAAAACGGTAGAAAGGGATCCAAAATAATAAAACGAAAATTAAAATACATTCAGCCAATACTGTTACTTAGGATATGTTGATGTAATAGTGTAAAATTGAATCATCGCTGTCTTCAATTTGAATATTGCACTGCCGAATATTAAAACAATAAGGTCGGCCTATTGAGTACGCTAATTTGATACCAAATATAGGGTAGATCAGTCAATCCCGTTGTAGGAACGGGCATAATGCCATAAATCCTTGACTTGGTCAGTCTTAGCTTGTATACCATTGTTGCGTCCACTATGATATCGACAGGAACTGCTTCCAACTACTGTTAAACGCCGATACCGGTCTCCACTAGATTCAAGTCTACTGTACAAACCTCTTTGTTGTAATAAGTATCTCGCTTTTGTATCTTTTATCTATATCGCATACATGAAATTGAATACTAATCAATAATATGAACCATCGTTTATACTTCAAAATTTAGATTTAAATATAAACGATAGCTAATATTATAACCGTCTACTTTACTTTAAAATACCTTAGAGCACGTATAACAACGCGAGATTAATCACGATCAGAACACCATACGATCTTTCAGCTCTCTTATAAATTAGATATCCAACTAATTCATCTTCGCAATAACTTATCTGTTTCTGTTTACACGTATATCTAGAAAAGCGATAAAGTAGTGGTAGAAGACATTGTTATACTGAAAGAGACGAAGGCTACTCCACGTGGTTATACCTATAGGGATACAACTCTCAACGACGGTTAGTTAGTCTCACATTTCAATCAGGATTAATTGATCAATAATAGTGGTTCTATCGGCATCTCTTTATGAAACCATAGATCTGCTAATCAAAGCAGAATCCTTTACCTTGTCTAACTGCTAGAGCAAGTGAAATGTCTATTTTGATCACATGCAGGTATTGCGGCATTACGGAAACAGAAAATTTGTGTCAAATATATATCCTCAAGTAACGCTCAATCGGCCCTATGTAGTATTATTTTAGTTAATAGAGCAAAATCAGAATACGCTCCCCCAAAACACGAGTATACTGAAAAGTAAGTCAATTAATATAATCATTATAGAACAGCAAGGATTCGACTATAATTAATTATAATTATCTTTTGAACTCTTGATACCATATAATATCGAATAATTGTTAATATCTAGTTATTTGATACAGTCATCTACGGAGTACTTCAATTTAGTTATCCAAATTTGTGTGCTAGACTACAGAAAATTAAAATTTTATTTGCTTTTACCAAAGCTTTTCGTCAATTTAGTATTATTATCGTATGCGATAAATATGCCACAGCTATACTCATTCTTATAATGCAAACATCCCACTTAAACTTTCTCTCTGACCCTCATCAAATATTTCCTAACGCAAAGCGATATCAATGGATTCCATATATGCTTTGACAAAGTTAATATGAGCCGATGTTTTCAACAATCTCAACCACCTCAGCCAGTTTCACAACAACAACCTGGGCAACATCAGCAAGTGCAACATCAGCAAGTACAGTATCAGCCAGTGCAACATCAGCCAATGCAAAATCAACCACTAGTTATCGAGTAAGTCAACTTTTCTATGTTCATCCTGATATCCTATTTCGATTATTTAAATGTACTACATTCAATACAACGTCATGGTAATATAATGGTATACAAGATAATAGCACAATATTTATGAATTTCATACTAACTATAAATCACGCGTGCTTTTTACTTTACGCTGATATTTGCATCGATAGGCAACCCTTACAATCTCTTACGATAGCGTCATCCGCTACGCAGCCGCCGCAATCCCACAATCCTATTCAACGTACTGACAGTCGTAAGTTATAATATGTACAAGGACGAAGTAATTTTCTTTAATCTAATTCAAATAAACACAAACTAGATCAGCTAGTACTAAATTCAAATAATCATTTCAATCTGAATGAATATTCCTTATGTAATCTCAGGTGATCTACAACATAGCGCCAGTGGTGACCTCGATGGAGTCCCTTTGCTAGTTAGTCCTTCATTCGATATTCGAAAGATTGGAGATGTAAGTGGGCTGTACTAAAATTATTGCATCTACAAGTATTGGTGCTACTTTTCGTAATTCGATATTCTAAACTTTTGTGAAGTGAAATGCTGAAAATTGATTACTTTACCCCTGAAATTGTAGATTCCAGATAATATTTACCAAAGCCCTTATCTAATAGATGAAAAGGTAATACTAAAATTTATATCGCCGTATCATAAAGTCACCTATCTAACCTTATTTATTCACTCATGTTTATTAGTATCAGCATGATTTCGCGTTAGAAAATGACGTGGTTGCAAGAATTAAGTAATCAACATTCCCTTTGTGAGATACTTTAAATATCGACATCCTAATTCCTATTATGTATATAAAGCAATCGGATAAAAACGAAGTAAATACGAACGTATAAACGTAATGCGCCGGTTTATATCCATCCACTTCGATGGAATGCTACTCAGCCGAAGGTTGGGAGTACACGAAATACTATCATTTGGCAATTTAATGGGTAATAGTGTCTTGTAGAGATGATGCTTCTGCGATTAATGGAGCTTGTCACATACCGTGAATACTAAAAGTTGGTTTTGACACGCTAATTGTTACAATTTTATGATTTTGATAAGTTAGATTTTACAGTTATTGCACTTAATCTCCTTAAGTTAGGTTCAATGTTGTTAATGCTAGAGTAACTTTTTCCTATGTTGCGGTGGGATTAAACTGCATTGCCTGCTACAATTGTAATTCTATGACCGTTCTAGACTTATATTGCTGCGTGACTATTTTCAATTATGGTTTTGCATTTATGTATATATATATATATATATATGAAATCCTTAAGGAATTGATTATACATCCATTTACTTGCCAAATCTTTACGGAAAGAATTGCCAAAATGTTATTTGGTTACTACTAGACATGAAGCAACACTTTAATCCTTCCGGCAATGTGTGGCATTTTTAATATTGTATTATTACTAATCATACGAATATTATCAAGGCTCTCTAAATATGTAAATTTTTACTAATAAATAATAACATCAACGTGATTGCAATATCTTTTGAGATATCTGCGCTTTAGCCATCAAAATTTTATTAAAGGTCGCAATGATTAATAGTAGTTTTAAATTTCAAAAGAATTTTGATAATCTGAACAAAGTTTACAATTGCGGTATAAATATAATATGCGAAAATTTAAAATCAGTCCTTATAGTCAAGCCCTTTAAAGCAGATTAACATACAAAATAGTGAAGTAAAAATTTAATATCATAACAATTTAGGAATAGAAAGAAAATCTACTTTGTGATTTAATCCGACCATTGTTCGTCATAGCTTCTTGCATTTGCTCATGAGATGGAAAATGCTTTAGATTTCCGTAAGCGGCAACGGATAATTTCGAACTTAGTATCCTATCTACAACGCGTATTAAGCTTTCTTCCGTAACTTGCTCTGTATTGAGAGATAGAACAACGCTTAGTCATAATAACTTGGATGGTATCCATTAGCAAAGCCTTAAATAGTGTACCTATGTTATCGCATAATTCTTGAACTGAGGTATAAGCAGGTAGAGATAAGGTTTGCCTAGAGATTAAATTGAATTATACGTACAGTTGACCACGATGTAAAATAGTGTAGCTTATGTCTATCCATTGAATTTTACTAACCGACATAAATCTTCTAGCATAATCTGTTTCGATTCTAAATTCATTAATAGTACAGACTGAAGTTGCCTTTTAGCACGAGAGACTTCGTCCTAAAGCAAATATCGAAATTATAATATTGCAAATATAAAGCAATCAGTTATTATAGAATAAACATAGGATAACATCCTTTTATTATCGTAACATCAGAAATAACGGAACAGTTCACGCCATACCTTATGAAATCCATTTTTCATATTACAAATTGTGGTCATGACCACTTCAGCAAGCTGCCCCATCTAAACGTCAAGGAATCACTAGCGTTATGACAACTTCAAAATGTTCATACGTGTACGTAAACGTTAATTTGCCACCACAATAACAATACTATTATTATAAGCTAGTTTAGATTTATAATATAAAATACCTGTTCAGGAGGAGCACTTGCATTTATTACAAATAAGCCACTATCAACGTAACAATGTTGTAAGCAAAGGCAAGAAAACATCCAGTAATAGTTACATAGAACAGATCTATAAATTCTAGAATACATTCCTTTTCCAGGACCACCAGCTGAGAAAGATCCGCCACCTCCCATCAATAAGCTCAAAACTGCTAAACTAAAGAAATCGGGATCCATATATGAAACACCTTGTAAAGCAAAAGCTGCATGGGACAATTCGGACACCATTGCTGCAGTCATGGTCGGACCTGCAGGGGCCTTTGGTAGGTCCATCTTCAATTACAAGCATACCGGATATTTACAGATGGAAGCGCAATGCGCAAGAATCTGCTATTACTGTTACTTACAATTACATTCGATCCTATATATTCCGTCTCATCCTCCACCGGTGATGTTGATGACTTAAACCAACTAGGTACATCGCTTACGAAATATTTTTCAGCTAATTCCACAAGTTCTTGATGGTTAACGCCGACCCCACCAATAACTAGTCGTTTCGGTGTGTAGAGCAGTTCATGATAACGTTGTAACGACGATGTATCGATCTCGGGAAAGGTTTCCATATCAGCAAATTTCGAAAATCCAACACTCTTTTCTCCGTAAGCTGCCTAAACGTATAACAACACAAAACATTAGTGCACTTTTTCCTTATCAGTCGGTGTCAGTAGCTTTATTACAGTATTTATCTACCCCATGTATTAGTTCAGTTAAAATAATTTCTGCATCCGCCATCATTTTAATGTGTTCTAATTCTGCATTTAGGGCCGCTTTTTGGTTTTCTACCTAGAAAAATGACAACACACATGATATCGGATTTACCAACGAGTAATAATATTCCTTTCTAAAAAGTACAATTACCACGACTGCATTACAAGTATAATGTGAGTGAATTAATATGCAGATAAGATTATCATTTACATTTCTCTGTGAAAGGTCAGGAAATAAAATAGAATCGGCTAAGGCTGCAAACATATCTGGTATTCCGTGGCGAAAGCCAGAGATAGAATAAACGGCACAATCTCTAAATGAGTGTAGCAAACTAGTCATTAGAATTTCAAGCATTGAATGCAATTACTAGAATAATACGCGTATAACTAAAGCTAATCAATAAAATTGTACTGTCATTAAAGATTGCAGTTTAAATAAGCAAATTAGACATTCTGATTTAAAATAGAGCGCAAGGCAGACAACAATAACACATTTAGCTAAATGCATAGCGTATAATCTTGATATTTTGCCTTTTCTTTAGCAGTATTTTGCACTATAATTACTTGTAATAAAAGTCACGTTTCAAGTATTGCTCACAGGAAATATAATATTTATTCTTTTAGGAAAGAACATTTTGTATGTCGTTGGTCGTATAGTGTACGACATGTTGAACAATACACACTGTCCCTTCGTTTAGCATTCTGAGTAGCATTCAAATTTGATGAGACTTTTACTCAGTAGTTACCTATTCATTTCACATTGTACATTCACACCATAGGAATCTAGTTTATCGATGAAATCTTCTTTATTCTCAAACTTTCGTGAACCCTATTTCATTATTTAGTAATTTGAACAATTATTCATTAGAAAAAAGTGAAGTATCTACAATTCATTTATAAACGCTGAAAAGATGATTCTTGTCAATGCCATGGTTACTGCTATAGAAGCCATGATCGATGATGAAAACACAAGTGCAATCGGCAACTTGCCTTCTCTCTACGCGTATTATTTACAAATAGCATCCATACCTGGAAACATATCTTTCCCATCAAGTGAGAAATGCCTTTAGGGAAAGCTAATTCATAGCGTGATCCAGCGTCCACTATCGCTACATTTTAAAAAAGAAGACGTGCGCATACCTTAGACAAAGCTATGAGCATCGTTGTCAACTTTGTTCTACATGCCATGAGCATACTATAAGCATCCCTACCTCCAATATAGCCAACTTGTCCATAACATGGTGCAGTAATGACCTTAATGCCATTGGATAATTGTGTTAACTGTGGATTCTGAGTACTATTCTCGATAGTAGGAGCATATTTAGGAGTAGCTATATTAGGCAAAGGTTGCGATAAAGGTATCTGTTGATACGATGAGCAATAATAACGTGATAGCTGGTGGATATATCGACCAGATGAAATTTGCCGAGGAGACTGGAGAAGTCGTTGCCATGCCATAGCTGAATCTTGTGTGTAGCGTTAAGCTGCAGACAGCCTGAAGTAGCCTGAAGTACTGTACAGTAAGCACACGTGTGAATTTCCTATCGACTGTACTGTACTGTATTGCATCGGAGTCCAGTGTCAGTCCGAACTGGGACTGATGTATGAAGTGCCGAGTTCATTGTCTACAGTATAGTGCACTGTTATATACAGTGCAATGTACGGTACGGTACTGCCATTGCCAAAAATTGGGACTCTTTTCGCTTCGATCTCTCCTCTGCTACGGTACTGCCATTGCCAAAAATTGGACTCTTTTCAGTTAGACTAGTGCAAACTCCCGTCGCTTTGCTGACGGTTTACGATAATGTGCTCATTTAACAGATAGTATTACCATTTGTCGTAGACCTGTCAGAGGTTCAGTAACTTTATACCGTGTACTGTGTAGTAGTAGAGTGTATGACATACAGTATACTGATATACTGTACATACCGCATTTCTCTAATCTTACAGTAACTCTCCATTTTTAGCTACTGTATGTGGAACACTCTTACCCATTCATTCATACTGTATAATATACAGTATATACTGTATACTGGATATATATGAGTGCAAGCTCCTGTCGCTTTACTGACGGTTTACGATAATGTGCTCATTTAACAGAGGTTCAGTAACTTTATACCGTACCGTGTACTGTCTGCTGTACTGTACAAATGCACGGTACAGCACTACTGTACAGTACAATACTGTACAGTACAGTACTTTTACTACAGTACTCATATTGTAGTAGAACCGAACCGACGAACCACAGTTCACGTCGACATAAATCGGTTTGGAATCGAACCTCTGACAGGTCTACGGCCATTTGATAATGTACCCATTTCTTATACTACAGCACGGTAGAGTAGAGTACAGTACTGTACTATACCAGGCCAATCAATGTACTGTACTGTCATGGAGCAAAATAGATGTCAAAAGTAGAGGCAGCCTTGGACAGTGTACCAAACAAATTTTGCATGCCTTTGGACGACATCTATTTTATACTGTACATCTTGTAGTATTGTACCCAGTGTCTACAGTATGTCACAGTCAATGTACTGTAAGTACTGTACAGTACAGTATAACTAGAAGTACTGTAGAGTACAGTACTGTACCAGGCCAATCAATGTACTGTACAGTACAGTACTGTACTGTCATGGAGTAAAATACTGTAGATGTCAAAAGTAGAGGTAGCCTTGGACAGTGTACCAAACAAGTTTTGCAAGCCTTTGGACGACATCTATTTTACACATCTTGTAGTATTGTACCCAGTGTCCAGATGAATCATCGTCAATTCGTCATTATCAATCAATGCTAAAGGCGATGACAATATTTTTGCACAATAATCTACCGTAGCATTATACCTGTTCAATATGATGACAGTACTGTACAGTACTTTGCAAGCTTACAGAGCAGTCTAAATCCTCACTACTAAGTACTGTTGTACTGGGCCGGACTTGCGCAGGACCCACTCCAAGCCTTCATTGATTACACGATCCTCGATAAAGAAAGCTCCCGATGATCATGTTTAATAAATAAATAATAATACTACTTTTACTTTAAAAATCGCATTTCCTTCAAAACTCTATCCTAGACAGATGCTGATTTAGCAGTAGTTCGATATAATACTGTAATGGTTAAAACAAACGCAAGACTGGCGGTATACTATACAGTGAAGGACAACACAGCATAACAACAGTCTAGCTGCTCAACAATCAATGGCCAAGTCAAGAATTACGCCAGAAAAATACTCTGGGGTAAGCCCACAAGTAAATAATTGACTACAAAGTTGTAACTAACTTTATCTAAGCATAGAAATATAAACCTATCTCGTATTCAGATGCTGTATGAAAGACATATTGTACTGTGTGATGCCGATGAGCAAATGGCATTAAATGGATTGTATACGAGTTTATACAGTCTTGCCGTTTAGTTGAATTGAAGCTTCCAAGTATAGTACCATTCCATGCAGTATCTCATATAAATTACATTTAAAACATCCAATAACCTCCAAACCCTATCGTTGCTTCTAATTACACGTAAATGTTGCATCGAGTAGTTAAATTGAATAAAAAAAAAAACAGTGATGGTCACGTTACATTGCCATAGTAAAGCTCTTAAAAGGTTAATGCATAAACATGTAAAGGCAATAAAGTCTTGCGCGTGATCTACCGTTGTAGCTAACGTTACCTAAGCATAGAAATACAAACATATCTTGTATCTTAATACTGTAGAAAAGACACTGTACTAAGTGATGTGGATGAGCAAATGATATTTAATTGACTGTATACGGAGTCAATCAAGTCTTGTGCTTAATGTATAAACATGGAAAGTACTAAATAAAGCCTTGCTCATAATATAAACGTGCAAAGTAGCTATAAGATATATAGTATCTATAAATAGTAGTAAATTAGTCGCCAAGAAAAATCTTTCTTTTAACGGAGCATGCAAGATCATCAAATGCTTTCACAAGCATCTGTGGTTTTACCGGTTTTACTGTACACCAATTGAGTTCCTTTCTCATTTGTTGGCATAGTATGCAATTTCCGTAAGACGACACAAAGTACATTATCATAAGCTGCAATGGCATATTCATGCTACATACGAGTAGACCATCTATAGATGTCATGACATCATATCCCTTCCAACAACTTGCATTTGCAATTGACGTATTTCGTAATAGTAGACCTTGATTGTAATAGAAGTGCTATGTTATCACGAATCAATTATAATTCTACAGATTTGTATTCCTTACTGCGCTGTTTAGACAACTCAAGTTGAGCACTTTGGAAAGTTATTAAATGAACTATCCAAATTAGGAACTGTTATCTCGACAAGCTTTGGACCATTAGGCAGGTAACGCCAATACTACTAGAAAACTAAAAATGTAAAAGGCTCCTCTAGAATAGCTTTCGCAAAACTCTGCTTTACCGTATTACAATATACTCGTTGGAATACTAATTTAACTTCAAACTCCCTACTGATACTATATGACTTTCCCAAAATCAGCCTCGCTCTGATTATCTGAATAAATACTGTAGATGTATATCCAAACACTACCTGTACTAGCATATACAGTATATCATGAATACTGTACTTTGGCCTATACTTATCCAAATACTGCTAATGCTTTCTTTCTATTTCGTCAGGTTAAAATTCTTGCAGACAAGCCAAGGTGGTCACGTAACGGTTACATCTTCCAGCAAAAGGATTTTAAATCAATTACCACCTGGACACCCAGTAATGCATATTATTATATCTGCAGTCCGAGAACATCTCGCTCGATTTGATGACGGTGGATTATTTCTTATCCAATTAACAATCAAGTAATCTCCTGCGAATGTTCACATGTTGTCATGTATACAGTTAGTTTATCCATTTAACAAATATAATTGATCTCATTTGCTGTTTCAGCCTTATTACTTCTGCCTCCCGGCTTTCTATCCCCAATCATTCCATTATTGCCTGCTACGAATTTATTTTAAAGTGCTGCATTGATTTCTTTCAAAGTGATACCTGCCCGTGTCGAATTAATGTTGATATTAGCAGCATAAAAACAATGTTAGCATTTATGAAGAGCATACTATGCACTAAACCGACTTGCACGCTGAACGATAGTGAAATAAGTCACTTATCATTACTATTGATTAAAGTATGTACATGAACACTTACTAACAAGATTTGATAATATTACCAGATCTATATAGCTATTCCTGATATTTATTTTTGCTGCATTATGGATAATTAATTTACTTCTAGGGATTTGTAAATGCTATCCCCTCACCAACAAGTCAAGAACAGTTTTCACTACAAGAATGCATTCAATTTATACACTGTTATGGTGAAAGCGCTTCGGAATCGAAACTTTTAGATGGAATATTGATCGATAATTCATTCACTCTTCGAAATGATCGTGACTCCTATGCAAATAAATTTCAATTTTTAAGATTGCCCGATAATACAATTCGTGTCATTCTTTTCAATATATCGCTAGCGGGAGATCCTGAAGGTTTATCATAGCTTTATAATAATGAATGCATATTCTTGTACTTCCGTTATTACCACATATACTATAGCTATTTGTTAACATATTTCAGACAGTTTACCAGAAAATATAACTTTAATTGCAACAAAGGACGACAGGAGTTTAAAACTTTCATCTATAGCAATGGAAAGGTTTAGACGATTAATAGAAATTTTGAAAGCTAATCATGTCGGATTTGTTGGCTGTCAAAAGTGTGTCCATCCTACTTTTAAATTAGCCCTAGAAACCAATGTGGGTGCTGTTCTCGTTTTTTTACTATCTGATGCTAATCCTAGCACTGTTACTTATCTCATAATTAAAATATATCAGTATAGCCTCCACTGGTTAATCTCGATACTAGAGAGAAACATCTATAATGATGGATGTATCCTCTACATTATTCAATTTTCTAATGTTGCTAATTTCATTCCAATAGGGAATATTCGTTTGCGACCGCTTATCCATTTTAAACATAGGAAAGGTAAAAAAGATAACCGGAGCTACTGTCCTAAGCACTAGTTTTACAGAAATTAAAGATCATCACTTCGGAGCCATCTCAGATGCAAATTATATTCACATAAACAATAAATGGTAACGTATAGCCTTTGCAAACCAAATTTAAGCAATTTCTTATAATATATCGCTAACCTGATACCCATATCTTATTCTTCAATGCGTTATAGCTTCTTAAATCTGATACCCTCAAAGTACAATGGAAGAAATATTTCAACTATCGCTATCATCTCGAAGGATGAAACATCTTGTGATGAAATAAAGCTTGTTTTAGCAGCCGCAAGTACGCATCTTACCATATCGAATTGTATACTCACTGATAGAAGGAAGTGTATTTTGCAATATTAATAGACGTCGACAACCATATCTCTTGCGTAAATACTGACATGAGCTTCATTCGAACGTTTTTTAATATCAATCTACTAGTTAACAGCCTTCAACAAATTGTCACTAACGCTGTCGCCTTATGCGGCAGTGGATGCACAGAATTAACGTTGGTCAGATATTTGCAGCAAAATGTAAGTTTTCTTAAGATTTAGTGAATACTTATGTAAGTTGTATTACAGTATATTTTCTTTCAACTAAATAATTAATTGATTGTCAATTTGCTGCATTATTAACTTAGAGAGAATCATTATTCAATTCTGCAAAATCTCAAGTCCAATTAACGAAAAGTATATGACTAAAAGATATTACAATTAAGTCTCAGAAATATAAATATTAACAGCGATATTTCATTTTAGGTAAATTTTTCACTATTTTAGATAGTTTCCAGCTATCACTCATTAAAATTGTTTCGAGTTTAAATCAAAATGAAAAAGAAATATTAACGGAGGTTCAACATGGTCATCACTGGATAAAACTTTCAAGATCTATTTCAGATCGCTGTCGATGTGGCATGAAAAATCGAAACGAGATCAAATCTCCAACATTTTACTCTCCTAAATTCGACGAGGCCATTCCTGTAAAATCGGAGGTAGACATTGTTTCCACTTCCTATTACCGAAGTAATGAGAATATCGTCTTGGACTCTTTCGCGATGAAAATAAACGCATATCATGTTGCTATTAGTGTAGCAAACATAGCGCTACGGATAATTAATACAGTGTCTGACGCTCAGACCTGAAATTTTGTAAATGAGATATCGTGAATTTCAAATCACTTCCGGGAACGCAACAAAGTCCTGCAATCCGTTTGCGAATTTACCTATTTCTATGTTATGTCGCTGCACATTATTCCTCGTAGATTTATATATGACAGCTTTTGCTGACGAACGATACTAATACTCTACAGCGTCGTTTAACTCTAGATATACCTCCGCATTGTGATATCATTATATCATGATCTTTATTCCTGATGTAACCCAAATTGTTAAGATTATCGTTTACAGTTACTTGAATAGTTATGTGAATAAAATGATTTAGCCCAAGTATTGATTCGAATTAGCTTTGTACACCTGTATGTAATAATCTTGATGATGATTATAATAACATTTTATTCACCAACCTTAAGCTAATTTATGTACTTGGAAATAATGTACTCAGAAGCACAATTTCCTTCTATTACATCAATTATAATACAAAAATTATTATATATGACTGATCATCAGTTTCAATTTATGAAATAAAGACATTTATTAATATTCAAATTTTAAGTATGGAGTTATTACGAAGTTTGAAGACCAATCAGATAATCATGTAACTGTATCAAAATAGTAATCAATTTCTGTTTTTGTCTAACAATTTTCTGTGCTATATACGTTTGGCTGAAGCTAAAAGAACCAATATCCTTTTTATGTGCAAATTTCTCTAATGCAGATGTTGGACTACGAACAACTGTCCCATCAATCAATCAATCAATCAATCATCATCATAATTAGGTTTTGATTCACTGCCCACTCATTAAGTGATTTTAGGTTCAAATCACTGTCCACTCAATAAGTGATTTATCATCACGTATTCAGAATTTTTATTACAATCTTAATAAAGATAGCATTTATCAGAAAGAGCGACAGCAATAATGGTATAGTACCGTACTGACTTTATTTATAAAATATATTACAACAAATTATAAATAACTTCATAAATTAAATCCATATCTACAGTATAGCTGTTATGCTTATAAACTTATGCCATGGAGCATTATTAGTAAAAATATTGTTAGACTTCTTAGCTAAGATTTCTAATTACGACAGCTGTTGTTGAAATACATGAATAAAGATTAGAATCCTAAAGATTATCATATTAGAGAGTAATCAAAGAGAGCAATAATGATAGATTAAAATTGTCAGTACTAATAGATATATTGCCGAAAAATAACTAACTATATTTTCGATTATACATATGTATCTAATCCTACTACTAAATTACCCGTTCAAGTGAACGGGAATACAATCTGCATAAAACAATACATTGAAAGAAAATTTACAGCTAGATTACCTTAACATATACTCTTCTTAATTCATTAGTACAACATGTCCTTAATTGCAATGAAAGCTAATCAAACAACAATTTATAACTTTTAAGTTCTAGATGTATCCACATACTCAAATCATCTTGAATAAGTGATAACTTATAAAATGATTTAATTTTACTAATATTACTAATAATTATTGGATTTGCAGTCAATATCTTAGAAATAATACGTAGTCTAGCCGTACAGCCTTTTATTAAAAAACTATTTAGACACCATCAGGGAATGAAAATAGTAACTGACTTAAGCTTGTAGATCGAGAACGATTCCATAATTTAAATACTCTATTTCTTAATCTGTAAGTTAAATAACTATAAACAAATGGATGTATAAGAAAATATCCAACGGCTAAATTTTGAAGTAATTGTTGAACAGGACTAGGTGGTCTGTAAGGTATTATAGCTTCTGTAGTAAAGTTGTATACCGCATAAGGAATTCGTAGACAGACATAACACAATACGATATAAACGCCTCGTATAATTCTCTTCTTTCTTCTCTTCTTTAATTGAAATAATCTTGTACTTCTTCGTCCATATCGACCAGTGCTTGCAATTTTAATGTATAATATGACAGAGAACATGATAACGATAAATGGCATTAAGCAGGCCAGACTAAAAGTAACTGATTTAATGACTGTATAGAGTCTCCTTTCTTCGATGATGAAATATTGGTCTAAACCATTTTCTGAGAGAGAATCATTAATTTTAACAGTAAAAATAATTAAGATCAATCCATAAACGACACAGGATAATATCCAAATGGATAATATACAACCATATAGGCGTGATTTTCTCAATTTACCAGGCCATTTAAGGATAAAAGCTACCGATAAATAACGATCTAACCCAATCAAGGCAACGTGTAACCCGGCATTAAAGAAGAAAAATTCCATTATAAAAAATTTTAATTCTTGAATGATGGCACAAGGCCAATGACTAATAAGGAGTTGAATTGGTAATATTAAGCAGGCGGAAAAGATGATGGATAATATACACATACTGTAGAATGGTACGTCGGAAGCCGATCGTAGTTTTTTTTTATAAAGAAACATTGTTAAAAACGTTCCATTGATAAATAAAATACATGGTGCTAAAATTACCCTTTTTATTTCGTTTATTTCATGTCCTGAGCAATTCAAGTTGCAACACTTGTTTCCATTTAGGATATCGACTTCCATTAAAGAAGTATCGTTGATATCCATCACGGGTAGTACTGTAGTTATGAATAATACTTGGGACAAGGTTGTCGAATTAAAAGTTTTACTTTCCTATTAATAGAGTAGAAGATCATTTTAGTTCAAGCCTATTCGATTTTTCGTTAATTAAAAAATCTAATGAATTCCTTATGTCAATCTCGTTACATATGCGTAGAAAAAATACATCTAGAAATAATACATGTCGTAACTCGATGTATTTATTCAATCATCCATGATGAAAATGATTTAATGGAAAATTTTTAAAGTTTCAATTCCGTTATAGCATACCTTCAAAATTGGATCTCTTTTCAATAACTTGCTGGTACTAAAATGATCCAGCCAGTGCTTCAACTATTATTATATAAACTGGGGAATAAATGGTGTTAAATTGATTTTTTGTTTACTTTGCTAATTATAGATAGACACATTATCTTCTATGTATTGGTTTAGTTTAAAATAATTGTAGTTCAAATTGCTATAAGATAAATTATATATTCATGTATTAAGGAAAGGGTGGCGTGTGTAGAAGTATGAGCAAATACTACTGTATGGAACACCAAGCCTTAGACACATTTTAGATTCTTTCTGAGAAAAAAATCATTCTGTTCTATCCATTGACAAAGCTACCATGAATTCTATTGAATTCCTTTGATTTCTAAGTCTACCGTACATGTCATGAGTAGTTATAAAATTGTATGAAGTTAAACTTGTAAAAAAAATTAAAGGATAGTAAGAGAGACTGATGAGGAGTCGAATAAACAATAAAATAGTCTAATAAAAGCAATCATACAAAATTGGGAAAAGCATTTAAGGTAGAAGCAGACATAAATATTGTTTAATAATTACTTTCAGATCAAAAAAATACGGTAAGGAAATCCTATTATCCCCAATTTTTGTCGCAAACAGGATATACCATTAGCAATATATGAACAAACTACCGGTACGGAGTTATTTATGAAGATAGACAATTTTTAATTAGCTGATTCCACCCTTCAAAAATTCTAGGAAGATTTCTTGATATGCCATACTTTATTGTCTAACCGTCGCAAATAAGTGATTATTTTTAATAACTTACTTTCCTTTCCAATAGCTACTACTTCTAAATTTTAGTACTATTCTTCTTGAAATATGAGTTGACATATTTTTATTTCCCTCTGTCAATATTGCTCCATTGATTATATTATCAACTGTTGTTGTCCTCAAGCTATTCAAGTTATTATTGATTTGATGAATACTTCATGACACTCCAGAAAAATAGTAGTCTATGATTTGAATGTTTGGTATTTAAGAATGGGCCTATAAATATGTGAACAATGATAGACTTCATTTAGATTCAGTAATTGAATACATTTTTTAGCTAAAAATACAATAATTCTGATAGCTATGTATATGGTTGATTTGACCACTAGAAATTCGCTCATCATTACTGTAGTTAAATAACTATCCGATTAAATTGCATTACCAAATACTGAGTTCAAGTATCATTTCTATTATGATCGAATCGAATAAAAAGAATTAATCATAGGGGTTAAGATTACAATCCAGCGTACGCATAAAAAGTCTAAAATCATGGAT